TGAAAAACGCAACGAATTATCGTATAACAGCTTTAATCTTGTCGAAGGCATTTTGTTAACCCCCGGCAATTTCCGATCTTGACGTATCCATCAGTCACACTTTCGTGATCGATAGTTATTCCCTCCAAAAAAAAAATCGGCCGCACAATTTGTCCCTTCAGTTTCCTTCACCTCAATTTCATCCATTTGTTGAATTACGAATGGTTATCGTTAACGTCAGCTTGAATAATTTATCATCATATTATTAATGGCTTTATTCTCTTTGTGCTGCTTCATGTTTTGGTTCATGGAGAAATTAAGGTAATGGGGGTAATGCCTTTGTACTCTGTGATATAGTCTATTTTTTCAGGCTGTGGGGAAGAGCAAATAAAATTACGATTACTTTTTGGAAATTCTACTACCCCCCATTTTTTATTTACGATGAAAATTCTAGAAATTAAATTTTAGTTCAGGTTATTTGAATATGTCGATTAAAAATCGATTAATCAATCGATTATTTGGAATCGATAATTAAATTCATTACGAAACCAAAAAATTTTACACAAAACATCGATTTTTTTATAAAAATTTTTGAATCGAATTGAGAAGATAAAAATTTATCTTCTCAATTAATGGATTAATAAACCGGATAATTTGGAATAATTATAATCGAACATTTTGGAAGATGAAAAGTCGATTCGATAATCGATAAATTCGATATTTTTAAAATATCAATCATGATTTGTCTCGTCTACTCGCTCCCGCGAGCATTAAAAATTAAAATCGGATTGAAGCATTTGTATCTCAAGTCGAGCGATCCCATTCCCTCCCTCGGTTTCGGCTGCTATCGATTCTCTTTCACATCGATAATCCCTCGGATATTAAATGAAAAATATAACAAACGAGAAATATTGATGAGACACGATTTTCCCGACGATTCGCGAACAAAATCGTCAAATTGAAATCCAAGTCGAGCAATAACCGGTCGTCCTCTGAATTTCCGAATTAATGTACCTCCAGTGGACATGTTTTTTTATTTTATTGCCAATTAAATAATAAAAGCCAAATGGACTCATGGATTTATCGCAGTTGTTTTATTAATTCTGCAATCTCTTTTATAATTACAATTGATGATGACAAGAGCGCAATCACTGGTGCAAACGAATGAGATCCGATTTCAATTTGAAAAATCCGTCAATCACGCGGAAATTATTCTGATTGATGAATTATCTGGAAATGTTTCGAGCGGAGGATCTAATCAGCTGTCTATGCAAACTTTGATAAAAACTTGGGCTGTAGTCTGCTAATAGCGCCGTCATTCAGCTTAAACTTTTCGAGCCCCGGCCTTTTAATAATTCACCCCCTTTCATACTTTTTCCTCGTCTTCCATTTGCTTCTTTGTTTTCTCCTTATCCCTCTTCCCTTTTTTTTGTACCTCAAAACGTACAAAGTGAATCTGCGCAAGAACTTTAATAGCTTCTCCTGGAAAAATATAACCAAAGGAATTGAGAAAAGAAGTTGATATACCGGGGGATTAAAAAAAAGGGCGATAATTGAAAACAGAATTGTTAATTCACTTGTTCACTGGCTGGGGAAATTGAATATTTGATTGGAAAAATTAAACCATTTCTCCCATTGATCCGTTCGATTTAATTAAATTAAGGGAGTTATTCCGGCAGGTAGAGAAATATAAAAGAAATCATTTTTTTTTTAATTAACGATGAAGTTTGAGGAACTTATTGTCGACAATATCTACTGGATCGTTGAGATAAATTTTTTTCACCGGTAATAAAAATTTTTAATGAAATTTTGGAATTTGAAATTTGAAAAAATCTATACGCACTCTATGGGACCCCATCTACTTTCATCTACTTTCTCAACCATTAACAATCATGAATCTCAACTCGAAAACTCGTTATCCCCGGGTAAACAGCACGTAGTTTAATTATTTGCCCACGTAATCTTCACTACGTCGCTGATTCTCCCGGTGCTCCATTAATCCTTCGACTCCATATTTGTACATATTTTTTACACCCACACAAAAAAAAAAATCAATTGATAAACTACCCCCACGTAAAAATATAAATACTAATAAATATATCTGACATTCGTGCAACAATTTATTTTCAGCAATATATGTGCCTATAATTAATATAAACT